AGGGAAAGAAGAAGACGAGAGAGTTCTGGTGATGGGAGAAGAAGAGGAAAGGGGGTTCTGGAATGTTCTTTTTTGTGATTTTTACTAAATGGATTCGGATTTGCACAAGGGTGTTTGGTGACGGGACATTGTAGCGGGACGCTTTGGTTAAGCTGTGTTTTTGTTTGAATAATTTGACTGCCTCGTCGTGAAATCATTTTGGAATTAAAAATGGTTTTATTTTAAATTTTATAATAAGAGTTCAAGTTTTTTTTTTTAACGACTTGAAGAGCAATCCGATTTAAACCCTTATACAAGATGGTGTATCAACCCACAAAATTAGTGGGTTGATCCAATGATTTGATTATAATAAAATATTAAATTACTAACTTTTATTATGGTATAAGTTAGATGAATTTTTTAATTTTAAAATATTATTCAAGTATTAATAACATATTTTTTAATAATTTATTTTTTATTCATAAACTCGAAATAAGATATATATTAAATAATTTTTAAAAAAAATATTAATAAAATGATATATTGAATGATATTTTTTTATTTACTAGATCATAATAACACAATAAAAAAATTAAAATAAATAATGATCAATATTAAAAAATAAAATAGAAAAAAACTACTGAATCAACCTGGATCAATCTGTCAAACTCACAACTCGATTTATGAAATTAAAATAATCTTATAAAAAATTCAAAAACAAATATAAAGATTAATTTTCAACCAACTCAATATTAAAAAATAAAATAAAAAATAAAAACTAAATAAATAAAAAATAACAATTTAAGTCAACTTAAACAAACTTGTTATACTTACAACCTAGTTCATAAGATTGAAATAATTTTATAAAAAAATAAAAATAATTATAAAACCTCATTTTCAACCTGTTAGAAGTTGAAATTAGACAATAAAAATAAACCCATGAAATCGAGATAATTTTATAAAATAATTATAAAACTTAATTTATAATTAATTTAATATTAAAAGATAAAAATAAAAAAATAAATTGTTAAAAAATAAAATTAAAACAAATCATATATATTCCTTTAATATCAAACCATTAATATTCATATTAGCATCTACTATGAATTTTTAAAGATTAGTTAATACGTCACCATACCCAGACGTTACCATGACTTTTAGCATTAATGTTTACATGTTTAGACAAAACACCTCATAATCCAAAATAAACTTATTATACATAGTTTATATAAACAAGATAATAAGGTATATCTACTGTGATGGTCTGAAAAATATATAGTAACCAAGTGTCAACCAACGTATTAATATAACTATAACATTACATGAGTTAACATATAACTAAGTGTTCTGTTTTTTTTTTATTATTATTAATATAGATATTCTGTTTACTTTATTCCATATGAATGAATACAATCTTTTATCTCATTTATTTACCATAATTTTATTTTGTACCCTAATTTCTAATTTATTATCATTGATCACCTATCAACCGTTCAATTCATACCATCTCATTGATATCATTAATTTTTTAAATTAAAAATAATTAATCAAATTTAAAAATATCAATACTAATAAATTACAATGCAACTTATTGGTATCATTAACCTCTCAAATCAAGAACAACTAATAATTTTTAAGAAAAATCAATATAAATATAACCTATTGGTATCATTAATCTCTTAAACTAGGAGTAGCTAATCAAGTTTAAAAAATACTAGTATTAATATAATTTATTAATATCATTAGTCTTTTAAGTTTGAAATGACTAATTAAATTAGTTTAAGAAATATTGATACCAATACAATTCATTAATATTATTAGTCTCTCAGATAAAAAAATAAAAAAATAAAATAAATAATCAAGTTTAAAAAATATCAGATAGCAATATAATTCATGGATAGTTTTAATCTTCTAAACGACTAATTAAATTTACTTTTAACCCCTTAATTTCATCATCTTAATATCAAAGTCAATGGAACCTACAGACATCATTAGCGTAGATTTCTTTTGAAATGAATGCCGATAAAATTAGCAAGGGCTGGCTGAAACGGCCTGTTGAAGCTCGGATTAATGACTCGAGGACAGAGGTTACTGACATCCCAGAAACAACAGAAGAGTTGGAAAAATATGCTGAGGACACCATCAACAACCCTTTTGTATATGACTCTTCAAGCTGGTGGTATCAGGTCCACTGCAGCTGATCATGCAGCATCACATGTAGGCAAGGCAAGTGGCCTTCTTTCGCTACTGTGGTCACTTCCATATATAACATGCTAGTCGCAACCGACACTTTTGTTATAAACCAACTGAAGTGGAGGCCAAACATGGGTTGCTAGTTAAGGAGGGAGGTCGATTTGAAATCCGCTTGCATGGATCCTCGTGAGAGTTTATGTAATGCTGTATTTGGTTTGGCATCAGTAGCTAATGTCCATTTGCAGAAGTCTCGTTCATTAGCTGGAACAGTCCCAAAGTGAGGCTCGTACAGGTCTTCTGCCGCTTCAGTTTGATGTGTTTGATCCGAGGTTGGTTCGATGAGTTCTGGGTATTTCTCCTTTATGGTACCAGTTGAAAATAAAGTGGTCTTCATGGAGGGGGAGATACTAAAAAAACGTTCATCATCTTCACCCTTCGAATCAAAATTCATGTTTTTGCGCTTGGGGCTTGCAGATCCCTGTGAGTGTGGTATGCGGACATGGGCAGGATAGTGATTCATCTTCCTTGTATAAAGTTGGATCGTAGTTTCAATTTTCTTTCATAATACATGGTTGGTCTCTGATACTTTTCGAACTTGAGTCAGTGAAAATGCGCGTTCGCACCCTGACTCCCTGGAGATTGATTGTTTTTGCTTATCTAACTTCAGTGATTAAAATTCAAGTGGGGAGGTATTCCATGGGAAATCTATTCCACCTACCAGCTACCAGGAAAGGTTGTCGAGTTAAAAAAGCGCTAGAGGAAGGGGTCGAACCTCCGACCTTATGGTTAACAGCCATACGCTCTAACCAACTGAGCTACTCCAGCTAGTGGGAAGTTTGGCATAAATTTAGATATCTATTGTAGTTACTATATACATGGGGTATCTCAATCGAGTCAAGCTCATTGAGAGCAGTCGACACGCATCATCTTGCTAATTTTAAAGAGTTTACAGTTAATTTGGAGAAATGCTAGGTAGAAGCAAGAATAAATTAATTAATATTGGGCTGTCAAAAAAGGGAAAAAAAAAACTAATTTTGGAATTGAATGGCTGGAATTAAAAATAGAGGGTCTGATGTTGTTTAATTAAGTGACTAAATTAAGAGCACACAACCCCTGCAACCCGTCCATGTCCAAACTGAGTTGCTGAAATGGGAGGTCGGTGCATCATAGGTTTAAGACATTCTCAAACAACATATGGCAAAACTCTGTCATCTACTTACTTTTGTTCAATATATAGTTGAGTTTTTTAATAAGAAAAAAAATTAGTTTTCCATTAAATTCAGATTGTCTACGTTAAAGCTTAAAGCGAATTCATGAAAACTTAGTTCTTATCGTGTAATGTTAAATGCTTGAATTGTATGATCGAAGGAGCTGTGACCAGGAAAAGACAGAGAATACATCTGCCGAGGTTGCTATTTTGGGAATAAAATTAAGACATCCTAACATGTTTTTTGGGCTGAAAAAAATCTGCTCTAACTTGCAACGTAACATGAGGCAGTAACCTAGTTTTTGCTGTCTTTCGAAACTATTTGAGGACAAAATCAACAAAGCCCCTGCTCTAAGAATCGAAACGAGAAAAACCTTCTCCTTTAAACAATTAATTAACACAGCTCCAAAACACGAAAACAACACAGCATAGCCCACTTGCATATAAACCTTAGCATTTTGGGACCCCCTGCAGGTCTTTTCATCATTTCCCTAACGTGTCAACCCCTTACTTCGCATGGCATCTTGAATTCTCACTTTATAAACACCTTCACCGATTCCCTGCAAGCCACCTAGCTCTTCCTAATTCTCTCTCCAGGTTCTGTTTTTCCTTGACTAGTTTTTGTTTTTGACCATTGCTGCTAGTTTGATCATTTCCAGGAAAGGTCAGCTTTCCGATGGAGACCCATAAGCCCTATTTTCTGCCCGCTATTTTCGTACTTGTGATGCTGTCTTTTCTACATGAACAAAGTGGCCAGGCCGCTCGGTTAAACCCGGTTGATGCTGGAATTCTTATGCCAACAGAGAAAGATGGACCGGAAGTTGATGATGATGGTAAGGAAATTGGCACGAGATGGGCAGTTCTTGTGGCCGGTTCAAATGGTTATGGAAATTACAGGCATCAGGTGAAATAAGTAGCTAGCTAGCCCCCTCTTTTTTATTCCTTTTTTTTTTGAGAGACCAGGGGGCTTATTTATCTTCTTGGACTTGACTAGTTAGCTAATACGCTTGATATACTACTCATTATTATTGCAAAGTATGGAATTTTCTTTTCTAATGTTGGATGAGAAAGTAATCTTGTGTATGCTATTGATTAAATCATCGATGATTTAATTGTGGATATGCATGTGAAATATACACAGGCGGATGTCTGCCATGCGTATCAACTACTAAGAAAAGGGGGGATAAAGGAAGAGAACATAGTGGTGTTTATGTATGATGATATAGCTAATCATGAGTTCAACCCGAGACCTGGAGTTATCATAAACCATCCTCAAGGAGATGATGTTTATGCCGGTGTGCCTAAGGTAATTACTCCACATGTACTCCTATTTTCTTATTAAATTATAATATAAATTGATTTTTTTTATTGTTTTAATGTTTTGGTTTAAAAAATACAAAGAAATATTATTATTTTTATGGGTTTTTAATTGAAAAGTATTTTTACAGCAAATACACTCTTGTCTGCCATGTTGAAGGTTTTGGTTGGCATATTCCATCCCAAGTTCGTCATTGATAGTTGCATCTCGCCATTATTGGCTTCTATCAC